AGCGAGGCTTTTCTGGAAGATGAGCTCGTTGGCAGTCATATCATGGGATGCATGGCGAGGGTCTGGGCTTCTCGTATTTGCAGTATTGGCTGGACCTGGATGTTGTCCCAAGCCTGGAGGCGTTCTTGGAGCAGAAGATCCACCGACGTCAGGTGACAGTCCGGTGCTCCAAATACTTGGGATACCAGGAAGGGTAGGTCGAGAAGTGTAGGACTGGGACAGTGGAGCTGCAGACCCAGCTGTGGGGGTTGGCATTGAGAGCTGCAGGCCAGGAGGTGCAATCGGAGAATAGCGAGCAGGGGCATCTGTCTCGCGATGGGTCGCATTGAGGCTCGACTCGAAGAAATTGCTGGGTATTGATTGCTGATTGGTGCTTCGAAGGAAAGCCAGCTGGTCCGGAAGTGCAGGAGTGTTTTCGTAAGTGTCTGACTCAACCAGCCGTTCGACCCCTTCGACAATACGATGCATATTAGCGGACATTGAAGCAGACGCAGACTGTGAACCGCCAAAAGTGCTCCTTGAATCCGCAACGTAATTGGCGTCCTTGGTCGCCTGCTGAACATCCTCTCGTTCAACGCTCGCCGTGGAGAGCGTGTTGTGATGGCCGGAGGGGCTGGCGAAGAATTGGGAAGGAAGGCCTTCTTCTTTGTAGATAAAGGTCTTCTTATCCTCATCATCCACAAGGGCTATAGGGATTCTCTGAAATCGCAAAACAGTATCAGTAAGTAATCGAATAATACAAAAGAACAAATAGGACACTTCGTACGTTGCTCACGACTAGATCAAGACCGTCAATCACGAATTCACGGATCCGGTAGAGCATCTCAATATTGGGATGACATCTTTCGACTCCAACATCGGTCATTCGGGGCTTCTGCTGGCCAGTAGCACTCAAATAGCGACGGGACGCGGCGTCTTTGTTGAGCGGCGCAAATCCCAAAGTCTCCTCATCTTCTTCCAAGAGGTAGTCGATTTCCGGGAGATGAACAACGTCGAAAGTTGATGCGAGGAGGCTCAACGTATTGGCATAGATCTTCCAAAACTCTGTAATTTGAACAGCAAGAGGAGTATCCTTCTCTTCTTTATGTGCCACCAGTGACTGACTGACGATAAGGAGCCAAGAACTATAATGTCGTAAAGCAGGTAGGACGCGGCGCGCAACAGCAGTGACCTTGTCTGGCCCGCTCTTCGCGTCTTTGCTGAGCGAGTCTTCGACCGCAAACCTCTCCAGCTCTGCTAGAAGGATTTGGAGCAGCGTGAAAAATGTCTTGACGTTAATGCGCTGAAAAAATAGCCGTGAATTGGACACTGACTCCTCTGCATCCATCAGCGACGATCTCAGTAAATGCGACGTGAGGGGGCTTACCATCAGGCTGCGTCCACGAGAAGTCCTCTGCTGCGATGTTGATGAGGCAGAACTTTTGAAGCGTACCTTCAAGTGAGCGCTCCTTCAAGTCAACGGCTAGCTGGTTCAGTACTTCACTCTCAAGCTCATCATGCTCGGGAAAATCATTTCCTTTGTAGCATTGGGCGTGAAGATAGACAAACCAAGGGGCCAACGCTCGCCCAGGAATCCCTGCATCCTCAGGACGAATTAACTCTCTCTTACGCCAAGCATGGCGCACCTTTCTGAATTCGATTTCCAAGTTACCCTTGGCAGATGGATGAGGCTCCTGGGCAGCTAGGGCCCGGTAAAGGTGGTAAGTGGCCCGCAAGTGATTGCCGTCAGCGAGCGCTATTACTGCCAACTGGTTGTGCGATGCGCCTGAAGCAGGGTAGATGGCTATAGCCAAGTCGTAGTAGCCAATAGCGGGACCCCAATTGCGGTCCTTGCTCACCAGTTCGGTCTCGCGGTAGCGAGACAGATCGCCAAGACGGATAAGTGTTGAATGGCATGATTGAAGGACACTTGCACGGAGAGTGTCAGAAGCCTCGACTGGAGGCTGCGCCGATAGATCTAGGTAGGTAACAAGATTTGTCTCAATGAACGCCCTGGAAATGACGGGGACGACGTTGCTCACTGTCAAAGTTGAACTTCCGCGCAACTTTCTCAAGCTCCGGGATACCTCCGAAGTGCGACGACAACTGCTGTATGTATCCTCGATAGAATCTCTGGCTGGATTTGATAAAGTCAAGGTAATGCTTTTCAAGTTTGCGTCTTTCTACCGGCTTCTTCTTCTTTGCATTCTCCTCGCGAAACTATGATACAAGCCACGATTGGTTAGTTAACGGCGTGCGCAACGATATACAGCAATTTGTGACACTCACGCGGGAGAGCAGTTTGCGAAACCGGGTGTTAATTTTGACATGTGCATCCCAGAGTCGGGTTTCAACATCGATAGAGCGAGATGTTTCAAAGTCTTGGAGTATGGCATTCTGACAAGCGGCGCGAAACCTGCGACGGGCCGTCAGATCGATGTGCGCAGAGATAAAACAAGCCAGCCTCAGTTTATGGACTCACTCGGAAAGGTAATGCGAGATTTCGGTAAACGTAGGCTCCTTCTCGGCAAGGCTCTTTAGAAGCTTCCCTTCGGCTTCAAGCGCAGTCCTATAGTGATGCGAATCAGACATGTGCTATTCTGTTGCATCAGGAAGTATGTAAAGTACTAACTGCCACGCATTTTGAAAAGCGGACGCCATGCTCAGGGCGGTCTTGATCGCGTCTGTGACACTCCACCCTCGACTTCGCCCGTCAGATGGCTATGGCTGGCTGAGAGTCTGCGGGCGACGAAAGTAGTGAACGATCCATCAGTAGTATGGGCGATTGGGCGCTAAAGAAAACGAATGGCCGGGATTGCAGAACAGTCTGCTGGAGGTGTCAGTCAGGAAGAGGTGAGGACAAAGTAAGCTGAGCGAAGATGGACGACGAGGGGTTGAGGCCACCGCTCATGGGAATGCAAATCCCATATCACGGGAACTTTTTGAATGCCCGTCCGCAAAAAAGAAATAATGAGGGACGGAGAGTGGAGTGGAGGAGTCGCATTAGGCACTGTTCCTTGTGGCTAACAGGACAGTGATTGGTTTGTGCCTCTGTGGCTGGTGCATTTATGCATGTATTATGAAGCTGGTATGTAATCCGCTTACATCACCGTATGTAAGATACAGTTAATGCCATCACTCACAAGTCCGTCTCAACTAGAAGAGTCAATCAATCTCCTCATGTAGTTGTCATAGTAGTTCTTCACCACCCTCACTTTAAAGCATATACTCTAGATAAACAACAACCAACGCGCCGCAATGAAAGAATTTTTCGTTTCAACTAAGCGCAGCAAGCAATACCAATGAGCATTGCAGGAGTTCTCTCCCACTGTTCCAGTCTGCATCTCTCCCGACCAACCAGACAGCACTAGTGACCCTAGAAAATCAAGAGGAGAACGGCCAACTCAGAGCCGAGAAGCCTTAAGACATGTCTAAACGCCCTCGCGTCTCGAGGTCCCCCTCACCGGGTCAATCACCTGAGACTTGGTCAAGTTCACCATCCCCGGCATCTTCAGCGCCATCTTGTGAACGTTCGAAGATACTCTTGCAAGACACCGATGAACCTGCTGTGGAATTGATGCATTGTTCGCTACCTCCGCATAGGGAAGTCATCTACTTCTCCTCCTATGAAGACTATGAAGTGCACTATTTGCAAACGCATGTCAACCGATGTTCAGAGTGTGGGAAGAATTTTCCTACAGATCGATTCCTGAATCTGCATATCGAGGAGAATCATGATCCACTCGTTGCTGCGAAGAGAGACAAGGGAGAGAAAACTGTTCGTCAGCCCTGTGACCATTGTTTTCGGGAGCAATTACTGTGTAACGACGATCACGGCTAACGAGAGCCCCTGCGATGCAGTACAGTTGCTTCATCGAGGATTGCGACAGGAAATGCTCTTCACCTCAAAAGCGACGTATGCATTTGATTGATAAACATATGTTTCCAAAGGTATTCTCCTCCTACGATCCTGGTTCCTCACTGTAGCTAATACCTAAGTCGCAGACCTACAATTTCTACGTCGTCAACGACGGGATCGATAAGCAAATATCTATGCTGCGATCACCAAATACACACAGAAGACGCATATCAGCTACCGCGCTCTCACTGCAGGAAGGCAGGCTGAGAAACCGAAAGACATGCGAATCGCACTCGCATGCGGTCTCACATGCAGTGTCTAAACAAAGCGTGGGACATGTAAACCCGGAGGAAATGGAAATCATTCAACTAGAGAAGTCCATGTCCGCGTTGCGATTTGTCCCGGCAAGTGTTAGTAAAAGCCTGAGACGAACCGGGAGTAAGTCTAGCTGAATTCATGTAACAATACTTTGTTCCACTGTTAGACTAATGCAAAAATACATCATGAACCGACTCGGCATCTCAAGGTTGCGCAACATAGACATAAATGTAACGAAGCAAGTAAGAGAACACCCCATAGGTTTCTCGTCCTGTTAAAAGATAAACGTATGTTGACGAAGAAGGACTGAAACGACAAGACAAACCGACCGCTCGACGTAGCGAGAACACCAGTATAGACGCCACGTTTCGGATATTATCTCGTTCTCTGGATCCTCTCAATTCCCTTTTTAACAGCAATGACAGGCTGCTCTGGAGCTATTGCCAGAAAAGGCTGGAAAAGCAGTGACGGCATCTTCATCGTGTATGAGCAGCCCGACTAATTTATACACGCCCCAAACCAGCTGGTGAAAAAAAGAACTATCAAAAACAAGGGCATCGAGCACAAGAATAGAAACATAATAGATGAGAGATTAATTCATAGACGCGGGTATATAGCAACATCATATATCATCCATGTCGATGAGACTGAAAGCATCAATGATTCGCAGGGCAGTTTGCAGTCAAAAGATATGGTACCCTAACAAGTTCGGAGAACACATAGGGTGCTTGCAATATTCCTTCTTCGCCGGGGACTGGGTTTCTTCAGCGGGCAGATCATCTGTCAGTCTGGAAGGCTGCATGCGGACCGATTGCGAAACAGACGGACAAACGTAGTCCTGAAATCATAGCTGATTTTCTAAGACATCTGCATAAGCATCCAAGCTTGACCCAACCAGATCAACTATCGCCCAACTCGTGTTTCCCTTGAAGGTTCTTGCCCAGACCCGGACGATAGCGACGCTTAGTTGTTTGGCCTTGTAAGGATTGGCCATAAATTCCATATCAGGCGCTCCTGGTGGGTCAACGGCCATGTCGGTCTCGTCCATCATGCTCTTGATCCACAAAAGTAGTTTCCTTTCATGGTCTGACAACCTCTGCTCCGAGTGCGTAGCTGGTATTGAGAGTAGCCATCTGCTCAAGAGAAAAGCGCATTCCAAACTGCAAAGGGAATGCTGAATACTCCAGAAGAACGAATGGGTTCTCGCGACAAAGTCGATTCCGAGACGTACGGGGATGGACAGTGCATGGGCAGAATGCAGTAAGGCCATAATGAGACGTGGACTTCTTGCTATGGGCGGGGACTCGCTTAAGGCCCTAGCAATCTGAACTGGGTCTTGAGTGATCAGACGACGACAAGGGCCCAAGTCAACATGCAATCTGATGTAAGCGAGTCCTAGAAGGGCAGTAGAGGTGAACGCAATCGGCCCTGCGGGATTCTGAGGATCAATGCTGGATTCCGGAGTGCGTTTCCATAATGCCTTCCAGGCGCTCAGAGAGTTGTCTAAAATAGTCAAGTCATCGGGTCTGAGACTTGTACCTTGCATAGAGGGCGCAGATAGACAGAGTTGACGCGCGAAAAATATCTGCTGGATAATAGCGTGTATAAGGATATAATTTCCGAGTGGCGAGATTGGTGCCGAAGAGTTCGAGCTGCTCGACTTTAAGAATAGTTTGGCGAATGCCTCCTGGAAGGGAACATCCACCCCTGGCCGGCTGCGACTGAGCCGTCTCCACTGAGTCGCATTGCTCGCTTTCCAGACGTCATGAGAGCATGGCATGTTCAATTTCAACTCCGCGTTCAGGATCAGAGGGGGAATGTTGTACATGATGGAGTGTAGATTGAAAAAGCAGTAGACGATGAGCTTTGTGCGTCTGTTGCCCTCTCTCCGTATCCACTCCTCCCAACTATTTGGGTCAGGACTGGTCGCTGGTTCGGAGAGTCCATGCTCTCGAACGAGCCTTGCCAACGTACTTTGTAACGATAAAATTTCCCGGAGGAGTTCCGGGTGTCTCTCCCAAGACGCAAAAACTGTGAGAAGCAAGAACGTGCGAATCACTTCCATGTGAGCATCCGAATCATCTGATACATAAATTGAAGGATCGACAGGGTGCGGCATAGACTGCTGCTGTTGCTGGAAAGGGCTACTAGCATGATTTGACATGGCCGACGAGCCACGCGAGTTGTGGAATCCCGAACTGGGAGAATAAAAATTCCATGTCGGGCATGGCACTTGCTTGCTGTCCCTTCTTCGGAGGCGCTCCAGCAGTATTGTCTTTGCTGCGTGAAACAGGTCGATTCCTCGATTGTTTTCAAAGCGATAATGCGATCCTGCTGCCGCTAGTGCGAGCGTCAGCTCGGGAGAGCATTTGGCAACAGAAAGTGTTGGGACATGAATAAAAGGAAGATGCTCATTCAGTCCGTTGATATAGCCAGCAAAGAAGCGAGACAGAGCGTGTCTTGATGGAGGAACGAAGCCCTTCGGAAGAATATAAGCAAACTCCTCAAGTTTGGAAACGAAGACCTGGCGGTCAGCGTTTGAGATATCCCATGCTGGACGTGGACCGTCGTCGCCGAAACCGAGTCGATCATCCACTTCGTGGGACTCGGGTTGTAGCGAAGGCAAACGAGACCCAAAATTTGAGAATGATGGAGGATCGTCGGCCGAGCGCGGGTCATTCATGATTTCTGTCCCTAGTCTGGATGTTTCACGAAGAGATGGCTTAGAGTCAATCGAGAGAGTAGTTGGCAACATGGGTTCCTCGACTGTGGAAAACACTCCCGAGTCCCAGTCGGATGAGAGACCAACGCTTTCTAGAAAGACAGTGAAGTCTTGGACAGGATCACCTAAGTCAGTGAGATCAAGGATTGACGGTTCAAGCCCGTAGTTTTCGGTGATAGGCCTGTCCGTGACATGAGGGATTGGCTGAGGAGGGCCGACGGTATGTGAAGGCTTTCGCATCGACTCAAGAGCTTCCTGTTGGCCTTCAAGAGCTACATGGCTAGCAGCATGAGACAAGAGATTCAGATCATATCCCCATGAGGGGTTGAAATGCGTTGTCTCTATTATCGGTGCTGGCTGGACATGGACCTCAGGCGGAGGCGGCGGAATCGGCTGTGGCTGGACTGGTATTGCATCTGCAAGCTCGAGCATCCGCGACTCATGATGGGCCGTCTGTATCATAGAGGACGGCGTCGAAGGCACCTCATGGTTACTGTGGTTTCGATGTTCTCGATTGGCCGCAGCCTCGGCGGGATGAACTAAGCGCTCATGTCGTACAAGTAGGTCGCTACAGAATTTTCCCTCAAATTGTTAGCGCCACTCGAGACCTATGCAAGGTAAGATAACAGCCAACCTCCTTGCAAATGATTTGGAGCATATGTCACATGAGAACGGTTTTTCCTTCGTGTCTACGATAATGGATTAGCATTTCCGTTATTCCTCAGCGCACCCACAGGGCCAATTCCAGGGTTACTCAACGAGTGCGGAGATGTCGTTGGAGGTGCTCCAAGCGAGCGAAGGACCTGCTGCAATATTCGCAGGACAAAGACTTTCGATGTGGCGTGGCATTTTTCTTCTTCACTTTGCCTTGAACAGTTCTCTCTTCCTCCATGGCGAATTGCCTTGGAATTGGAGCATGTCCTCTCAGATGAGAAACAGACGAGCGGGGAAGAAAAACTGTGGGGTCGAGGCATGAGGGGGGTTTACTAGGCTGTAAAGAACCTAGGGACAGCCAGTCACGTGCAGCAATGCGCCATCCGCACTGAGGGAGGTTTTTCCCAGAGCAGGATACGGCCGCAATGATAATAACGATGTTGCTCGAATTGTCGCATATATGAAGACACTCAGTCTCATTGATGGCATCTATATTTATTAACGCTCTGATAGAAGCATGCAACTCATGTTTGTTCAAACAAATTGTAGAATTCTCCGTCCCTGACATGCAATTGATAAGGTACCTAGATGCTCCATCCTACTTGCATATTTGCCCTCCGCCGTCCCCACTGGTGCGGAGATAATAAGGTATGCTTTACGAGGATGCCAGCTGCTCCTGCCGTTTCTATATCCAACCTTCCTTTCTTCATCTTAACTCTCGATGAGACTTTGCTCGATATTTGGGTGTCCAGTGTAAACGGAAGAGGCGGGAAATGGCCCACTATAGCCAGAACCTAATACTGTGGTATTATTACATGGAGAATGTGATGGATGGCAGAACGGCCCATTAGTTTGCTACTTTCACCTACCTACTGATATGATGAGGACGTCCACATGGGTTTCTTTCCTCTTCATTTCGAGGACTGGATATAGTACTGCACCATGCGGCACTTGGCTGTAATCAATGGATTCACCGTTAGAAAAGGCGCAGAGAACATTGAGAAGGATCGATCTATATTAAGTTGGGGACACAGGACAAAATATTATTCATAGTGTAGAACACACAACTCCAATGACACCTACAGCACCTTGATATTCTTCATCAGAGAAAAAATGAGTACGAGGCCTGGGATAATAAGTCAGTGAAATGAAGTTGTAAATCGTTCCTTCTCCATCGATAAGTAAACCATTACTTGGCCATGAGTTCCTCAACATTGGGCTATTTCGGAGGTTAGGAATATACGAGGGCGAAGCACACCAAACCCTCTAGTTCGAAATTAGATAATACTACAATCATCATTACTTCTGGTTTGAAAAGGAGATTACTCAACTTTCCCCCGAAAGAGAACCAATAGATCCAAGTGGGAGCCTACGTACATGAATACAACAACCGATGTACTACACAACAGTTTAGCAGGTTTCAGGAAATGCGCAGCCATCGAGTCGTGATTTCAATGATTCTCAAACCAGCACATGGAAGATTGAGGTTTTGAGCTTTCAGCTGATATGGAGAGGTTTAAACCAGAAGCGAATCTGAGTCAGGGATGCAGCAAGGCGAGGGCGGGAACCCATGGGGAGCTCTTAATGTGCCTGAACCTATGGGTCAAGACAGTTCGCTCAAGCTGGAATGACAGCCACTAAATGGGAGCTTTATTCTAAGAAGGCGGCCGAAATTAGAGGAGACGATCCCATAGCTTTCTCCTACGATCGATCTTGGAGAACGTGCGCAAAAAACAGTACTCTGTAGATATTAGGTATTACCGCTTGATGCTCACAGGCGAGACAGTTCTGGAACTCTGATTTGCTCCATAGGCGAGCTCATATGAAAATGCATGTGGGCCTAACAAAGTAAACTTCTTCATGTTGAAATACGGAATCCGAAGCTATGAATGGACAGAGTATTCATTCTGTCTCAGTCTGGGAAAAGTTCGAATATAGAGGAGCATAGTCCGTGGTTTATCAGAATGCCAGTCTTTGCAGGGGATATCTAGACCAAGGGACATGACAGGAAATTTCGTGTAGATGGCTCCGACGAACTTAAGATCGATGCTAACCTACCAAATGGAAGCGATGGGCATTTGATGAACATGACGATCCCATGTCAAAATTAGTGTTGAGGTTTGAACCCACCAACACTGATTCCACAAGCTAAGAATAGCTCACTGAAATTGAATCAATGAAGGCATTAATGGTGACAAGTATTGGGAGGGGATGGATTTAATGGGACGGAGGGGCTCTATTGTTTCAGACTGTCGAGCCCCTGACAAATCTCAGCAGCGCGGCGTGTTTTAGAAAATGATTAGAGCACCTACTTGCGTGTCGGAGGTATTGTCCCCGACCGATCAGGCCTCCACAGAGATACAGTTGTTGTCAGTGTCGCAGGAGGGGTGATCACTCCAGCATCATATTATTATTACTTCTTTGCATGCTTATCGTTCATTTAATTATCCCTTGCTGAGAGCTAAACAAGATACCATTTGAGTGTTTGATGTCCTTGTACTCCTACTCCTACCACCGGCGTCCTCTCTCCCCGCGTCTTTCAGCTTCTGAGACTGCTATAGTGAAGCAGTTCAAGCCTGATCTTGAATTGCCCTAGCCTTTACTTATCCAAAGCCTTAAGGTTAGAGCAAAAGAATCAGGTATTCACGGAGGACTTATCTACACACAGTCATTACTTTCACTGTAAGCAGGCTAGTGATACTTTCACTCCTTGTTATCCCTCTGGATCTTAACTTTCTTCTTTGCTGGCTACTCTTTGCTCTTCCTGCCAAGTGGACTTTGTTTCTACTGGAAGGAACAAAAGATGATCCTGGAGACAGATGGACTGATCAACGTTGTGAATATAGAGAACTCTGGACCTCTCGCCGGTTGAAGTCAAAACAGCTGTCAAAGTCGCACAGTCAGTCGGCCATATAGCTCTCGGGAAAACGCCGGTATTATGTTATGTCATTGAATCCCAGTGTATCCATATGGCATAAGATTGCGCCAAAGCCCGACAGTTACTATTCACTCCCTATAAATCAGCGTCCGCACGATATACGAGCTATGTTGGCGACGAAGATTCAATTGTCGGCGCCTTTGGGCATGACAGGATCCCAGGCTACGGCACCCACATATCATGTCGGACCATCGCACAAGTCGTCAACGGGGGCGTCTTCGCAGGACGGGATGCTGTTTACAAGCCCGACAGAGTCGGAGTTCTCCTTGAAGGATGGTCATGATGCCGTTCGGTGGGTTATCAGCGCCATCTAATCTGTCTTGGAGGTCTCCGCGGACGGCTGACTGCAACTTTTCCAGGTCGTGGGATGAGAAACAAGTGATCAACTGGTTGCACAGCATAAATTGCGGCCAGTATGAGTCTTTATTCAGAGGTGAGCATTAAGTAGCGGCGTGGTACCAGAATCTAATACGACGGAGTCACTGACGGTACGCAGCAAACAATTTCAACGGAGACAATCTTATTGAATGTGACCAGAAAATTCTTCAGGAAATGGGTATCAAGAAGGTCGGCGATCGAGTGCGGATTTTTGTAGCCATCAAAAAGCTCAGAAACAGGAGTGTCAACAACCTTAGACAAACGAACATGGTACGTGAAGTTCCGTCACAGTGGGAACCTCAGCTTACCACGATGAAGAATCAACTCGCTGCACTCGAGGCCCCTACGTACGCTCCAACTTCAGACTCCTCTCGGCTTACCAACCTCCGCCAACGAAGTTCGAGCAATCGCCGTATGTCTCGCTTAGTCGATAATGGTTTCTCCACGGGAAAATCATCCTCACGCCCAGGGTCCCCATTGAGAAATCAGCGGTATGCTGCGAACAGCCCGATGGAAAGTGGTCGGAAAGAAAGTTATTTTGCTCATCCTTCCTCCGGCGGCTCGAATTCTGGCCGAAACCCAGGAACACCTAGCGACGGTGGCCATGGTCACAAAGGTGGCTTACATCTGAGGCAAAACCCCAGCATTGATGGACTGACAATGGGTGCTTTGCCCGCAAATTCGCCTGTTATCAGGGTCATATATACCGGCGGACAGACCAAGGTACTGGATATCAAGCATTGCAAGACCGCTGATGAGATTATACTGTGTGTCCTCAAGAAGCTGCAGCTACCCGAGCACCAGTATCGCAACTATTGCTTCTACGTGCTCGACGGCTTGGAACCAGATCCTTCGAACTGTAGGCGGCTTGCAGATCACGAACTCATGGAGATTTGCGAAGGATCAAGTAGGTCCGAGCGCGGACGTCTCATTTTGCGGAAAATTCACGCTGGCGAACCAGATACTGATGAGCTCCGTCGTGCTTCTCAGCTTGCGTTGGATGAAAGCCAAATGACACACATGAATGCTCTGAGCAGTTCAAATGTGCGCAACCAGATTAAAATACAGCAACTCACAGGTGAACCCTGGCATCACATCAAACAACCTTTGTCGCCTGTATCAGCCCGGCATCCTCAGGGTCATAATGAGCATGACCAGTCTCTCCAAATGAGCACTGAACGTCCCTCTGTGGCCAAGTTGCGATCTTTCTTCGGGGCTCGCCCACCTAGCGAAATGATTATTCATGAACTTACATCATATTTCCCCGGTCATCAGCGTGAGGATATTGAAAAGACCATGCGCATGTCGATTCGGAGATCTCAACGCCTCAGCCGAGCAGCAAGTCGCCTGAGCGTCCTCAGCAATACAAGTTATGCATCGAGCTTGAGGGATGCGCCCCCGATTCCGAGCATCGCTGACACCTGGCTCAATCCTGGGGCTCAACCTACTCGAGCCTCGAGGCCGCTCTCTGTTTCCAGATTCAATCTCCCGC